CTAATATATTAAACATATTTAATATATTGTATATGTCTAATTTATCATATATATTATATTTATTTAATATATCACACTTATGTAATATAGCAAATATATCAGATATATTAGACATATTTGATATATCTGATATACTTGACATTTCTGTTATTTAAGTTCTTTATCATATATACTAGTTATATTTTTAGGTTTCATATTTCTCTTTTATTTAAGGTTGAGTTTTATAAGATGCCTTTGATTATTTGTTGAATGTTAACCATTTTCAACTGATGAATATTTCTGAAAGTTAGCTTTTCTGTTTAGTATATTTGCTCAATTTTATATATGGAGAATATATTATAGGTTTGAATAGAAGTAACTTGATAGTATATTGATACCAAGTTCTAGAATTGGCTCTGGTAATATAAGCTTCTATTGACATAGAGCATTTTAAGATAATACCCAAATACAAGAATATTGATTCAGTTACCAAGTCTTATGATCCTCTTTAGCTAGTTAAGTATGTTAATCACACATATTATAAAGTCATGTGTTTTATTAAAGGTAAAGAGCAGTAAATTAATATCAAGTAGAAGAATAGAGATGATGTCTTTGATGATTTTATTGATATAATCAGCATAGTTAACTTTTAAATTAATTTAAAAAACTTTTTTCACAACTTTTACTCTTTTATTATTTTCACTCATTAATATTGTTCGATTATTTTTTACCTCTTTTATTTCTTCATTCTTTTTTGTATTATATACAGTTTAGGCTATCATCAACAAATTTTCATCTAACTCTTTGCCAATCATAATAGCTTTTTAGTAACTTAATATTAATTGGCATAGCAATTAAGTTACCTTCCATCATCTGTAGCTTGAATATGTTATTATGGAGCACCTCATGTATATAATATGGGCCCTTTCATTTCAGCTTCAACTTTATGCTCTTATTATATTTATTAGCAAGTTTGTATATAAGAACCTTATCTCTAATATACAAATTTGAAAGTGATCATATTCTTTTATCATGCCTTATTTTTTGTTTGTATTGGGCATGTTGAACTTAAACTACTGCTTCATACCATGCTCTAAAAAGCTTTTTATTAGCTTCTATATTCAATTAATAAGAGTCTTCTCTACTAAAGTATTTGTACTATTTTTAGGATCAGTTGTTGAGTTTTATATCCATAACTCAAATAGAACAGGGTCATTTTTGTCATTAAGTGTTGTATGGTATGGTATATAAAGAGTACTGCCAAAATGACCAAGTTCCAATTGGCAACATTTCTTATCAATTTTGCTACTGCTTTACACTAGATCTTGTTGAATCTTTCAATCAGCTTATTTGTTTAGAGATGATATAAAATGAACAACAAGTGTTTGATATGAAATTTCTTTAACAAATTATCCACTAGCTGGTTCTGAAAGTGGGTACCTTTGTCTGATAGTATTTTCTTTGAACAGCTATGCTGGCACATAATTTCTTTAAATATGAAGTTAGCTACTATTAGTGCATTGGCAGATTTGATTACTTTTGCTTCTGGCCACTTTGTAAGATAATCTGTAGTAATGATGATATAGTGCTTATTTTGTAAAGTTATTGAGGCAGATCAATAATATTGATTTCTATTTGGTGAAATGGTTTAAATACTGGTATTGGATGCAAGGGCCCTTGTAACTTATTCTTATTTCTTCTTTGACATTGGTTACAGGTCTTTACATATTCTCATATATTCTCAAATTGCTAGGACCAAATGTATTCAGTTTGAATCTTTTAGAACATTTTCTTGTTGCCAAAATGTTTTCTAATGAGTAGGTATGGGCCAAAAATAATATTGGTCCTATTTTATGTTTTTGTGCAATTTGTACTAACTTCATTTAGTCTTATTTGCTTCTTTTATATAACAACCTGTTCTCTAGTATAATTATCATACTTAAACTATTATCCTTTTTTGATGAGCAGGTTTTAAGGTAGGTGATTCTGTATATATTGCTTTATATGGTTATATTATACTATTTTCATAATTAATAAATTTTTGTTTCTGTAAAGCCAGAATATTAACAACTTGACTAGATTTTGTTTATCATTGCATTTGGCATTTCTTTATATAGCTATTTCTATTTCTGTGCTTAATTCTTAATTGTATAGTAGTTCATCTTCATAGTCATTACTACATTACTTAGAATGTCTTCAAGGCAATAAAGTTTATAGATTATGTTAAGTTCTTATAATACATTTTCTTTCTTGATTGTAATTTTGTCTTTAATTATGAGCCAGAAGTTATTCATTTTTTTCATCTACTCTCATTTCAGCAGATTTCTATTTGGACTTATTAACTGAGTCATTCTGCAATTCTAAGGGCATATCTTCTTAAATTCAATTCTCTTTGTTTAGGTTTTACAAGACCTCATCTGTTTTATATTAATAGTTGAATAAAATGTTTAGAGTGGATTTTTCTTTAACATCATAGTTAGAATCTTTAATATACTCTTTCTATTCTATCTTATTCTGTTGATTACCTATTCTTTGTCAGTGATATTTACTGGATGTATTTCTTTATTATTTTTTGCTATCAGTCTATTTCATTCTTGTGCTACTTGACAAGTATCACAAGTTGCTCAAGTTCAGTTGACACATTCAATTCTGGCTTTTGAAAAAAAGCATTTGCATTACTATAGACCCTTCTAGACCAATGTTTAATAGTGTAATTATATGGCTGAAGTCTTAGAATCCATCATGCTTGTATTTCTTTAAGCTCAAAAGTATGCAGCCATTTCAATGCTGAATAATCTATAACTATAACAAAGGGCTTGAATTCAAAATACTAATAGTAATGTGCTATTGCTTAGAGCATTGCAAAACACTTAAATTCAGGCATACTACAGTTTCTTTCAGCTTTTAATAAGCTTGACTGGCATAGAAGATTATATGTTCTGTTCTTTCTTCTTCTTTTTGGGCTAAAACTGCCTTCAAACTGATTTCTGATATATTATATATAGGTAAACATTTTGTTGAAATTTGGATATTGCAATATTGACACAGTTATTAGATATTCTTTTAATTTTTCAAATGCTTTATTTTGGTTCTTTCTCTATTCAAATTTTATATCCTTATTTAATAGTTTGTACAATGGTCAAGCAATTGCAGTGAATCTCTTGATAAATCTATGATAATAGGAAGCTAGACTAATAAATGCCCTTAGTTGTCAAATTATCTTAAAGATCAGAAAGTGTATTACTTTATTAATCTTGGACTTATCAGACTGTATTTCATTGTACTTTATTATATAACCTAATAAGTAAATTTCTGTCTAGAAAAATTTACACTTCTCTACATTAATTTTCAACCTGGCTGCCTCTAACTATCTAAAGATTTTCCACAAATGTGTCAAGTGTTCAGAAAATATTTGTAAGTATATAGTTATATTATTAATATATACTGCAGTAAATTTTTCTATATAGTTAGCTAATACTTTGTTCATTAGTTTTTTAAACATAGCAGGAGCATTGCATAGGCTAAAAAGCATAACATTAAACTTGAATAAGCCAAATTTTGTTATGAAAACAGTCTTCTCTTAATTCTTTTTATGTACTCTAACCTGCCAGTAGCTGCTCTTTAGATCTAGGCTAAAGAACCATTTTGCTGTTCAAAAGGTTTTCAATAAGTCATCAATTCTGGATAACAGATAGAAGTCTTCTAGTTACTAAATTCAAGTAACAATAGTTGATACAGAGTTGTAACTTGCCTTCTTTTTTAAAAATGACAATAATTGATGAAGCTTCAGACTGTTTGATCTATAAAACAAGCTTTGTTTTTTCATTCTTTCAATTCTTTCTTAATAAATTCTTGTTCATTCAATGCAGTACAGTATAGACTTTGTTTGATAGTCTTGCATTTTCAATTTCTATTTGATGAGTTAGCATATTTGGCTCTTCTAATTTCTTATTATCATTAATAAACAGACTCTTTTGCATAATAAAGGAATTTACAGGCTTATTTTTGTTCTTTTCTATTTAGATTTTTGTCTTGAACAAACTGCTTCAAATAATTATCTACTGTTCACTCTTAAGGTTCTTCTTGGCTTGCAAGAAGTTCTTTAATTACTGTAAGGTAAATGGCTAGGCTCTTAATGTTTTCTTATGGATTTTTATAAAATCCATTTTATACAAGATAAACTCTTTTGTGAGATATCTTTTGATTTTATTTAACTCTTAATTCTCATATGTAAACTTATCAAAGATATCACCACTTTTATCCCTACTATCTACATTTCTTTTCTCTTTAGCCTATTTCAGATTACTAGTTCCTGTATATGATATTGGTACTTTAATGATTTTGTCTTGATACCTTAGATTAGGTGTCTTTTGTCAAAGTGAAGTTCTGCCTTTGCTTTTGAAAACCAATCAGTTCACAGGAGTATTGTTTTATCAAAGAATTCAATAATTTGAAAGTTACTAAAGATAATAGCATCTTGAATTGTGATCTTCATACAATTAATCTTTCCAAGTGCTCTGGTTTTTGCTTCTGTTGCTATAACTACAACAGTTAATGATTTTGCATAAATATGCAATTCAAATCTATTCATCAGCTTCTTCATCATTATGCTAATAGCAGCTCTAGAATCTAATATGGCTATGATCATGTTTCCTCTTATTCTTATATCATAATATGCAGTAGTAGTCTGTTTGGTGTCTTTGAATTTCATGTGACTGGCTTCTTAGACTTGAGGTAGAAGTTGATATAAAATCTTTGTCAAGTTTTATTGTTGGTTTAGATAGTGCAGTATTTGCCTAATAGTAGCACTTGATTTTTAACTAAAATATTATTAGCTATATTATATAGGAAAAGTTTATTAATTACTGATAGTTCTCATTTCTGCTTGGTTTTCTTATTGGCACCAACTCTTTATTATCCATTAGGTTAGAAACTTCTTTTAAATTGATCAGAAGATTTTCTTCTTGAGTTTCATGTTTTCTTAACCTATTTTACTATTTAGGTGCAGCTTGTTCTTGTACTCAGTTACTATAATTACTACTATTATTATAGGGTTGGTATTGGTTATTATTTTCAATGATGAATACTTCATCTTCCTTCCAATTACCATTATAATATTTATTTGAATTCTCTATATAATTACTAATTCATTTTTTATCATAATCTCTTCTAGAGTTCTTTTCAAAAAACTAATGCAAACAATATAGCCAGTTTCTTTACAATTATAACAGATGAAGTCTCTTTATAGTTCTCTCAATAAGTCCTTTTAGATATCTTAATGTTTCTTGTAATTATGTACTTCTTTTGGTTAGTTGAAACTAGACACTGAGTTGGATGATGCTGCATAATTCAAGGTTAGTTGTTCTATTCTTTTGGATATATTTATTTTCTTCTCTTTAATTTTTCTCTGTTGAACCTTTTCATAAGTCTGTTTGTTGCAATATTTATTGGCCTTACTCCAGAGATGTTGACAATGGCTTCTTTCAATCTTTTAGGTTCAGATACTGCAATAAACATAATGGTTTTTTCTCGTAATTTACTCAAGAACATCTGAATTATATATGTGTTGAGTAATTCATTTTCAGGGTTGACTCTTCCTATTAGGCATTTAAACTTCATGACATATGCATTAACCTTTTTATCTATTTGTTGTTAAAGGTTGTTGAGCTCTATTTGTTATTAGTAACATTTTTCTAAAGTGGTAAAAAATTCTATAAAAAAATGATAGAAACTTTCTACTTCATTATCATTATTCTTCTATTGGTTTAATGCATTGTTGTTTCCTTTGTGCCAATCTACAGCTAACTCTTTTAAATATTCTGAAGTACTTTAACATTTATTTATCAGACTAATTGTTGGCAATCACAGCTCATTCAAATAATTCTAACTATTTGATAGAATTCTCTTTAACATTTCTAAAGAATAGTTCAATTTTCATATAAGTCAATTTTTTTTCTTCAGTTAGGTTTTTCTTCAAATCATGATGGTTGTTGCTATTTTCATGAATAATATCATCAATCTGTTTAGAAGTTTTTTTAGCTTATTCTTATTCATTTCTTCTTTTGTATCCTTAGGTAAGTATGTTCTAAATTTCTGTTACTTATCTTATTTTATTTCTATTACTAATTTCTATTTCTTTCTCTCTACTCTACTATATTTTTTTTTCATGTTTCTTATATTTGAAGAAGGAGGAGAGTAGTAAATGCTTTCCTTAATATCAAATCTCACAGTCACCACCAAATTGTTGTCTCAGAATTTAGTAATAACTAAACTAAGCCAACTCTTATATAACCTACTATGGCTAAGTTGAAACAGGCATATTAGATTTGATGAATGGATTATCAGCTGTAGATAAGTACTGGTCTCTTCTCTTGAGTTTTTCCTTCAATCTACTTTTAATATAATTCTTATCTTCTTCTATTGTCTTAACCAGGATTTTACTATGTCAAATCAGAATTAGAACTTTTCTTAAATCTTTTATAATATTTACTAAGCATATGATTAGGTAAACGATCAATTACAGATTTAGTTTATTGTTAAGATTAACAGGTATTGTTAAAGATAAGATTTATGATAGTAACTGATTGTATAAGACAACACTTTTACTTATACTATAGGTCAGGTAGTTAGTTTTTATTTTCCAATTGTAATCACTAGTCTTTTGACCTAGGCAAATTGCTCTTTATTTATAATAAACATTCTTTTTTATTTACATTATGAGATTTGTCTAATATATCAAACATATCTAATATATCATATATGTCTAATTTATTGCATATATCACATTTATACCAGTACGATTATATGAAATATGTGAGGGATGGTTCCATTCAACTTTTTGGTAAGCTATATTTTTTCCTATTTTAGAAGATATTATGATTATTATTTTTTTTTTGTTTGAGGTATAGTCTAGAGTATAGTTTAGTGATATTGAATTATGAGTTCCACTTTACCATTTTTGGGTTGTTTATGTGATTAGAGTATCAGAATGTGTATTATTTGTGTAATTATGATGATAAATTTACTAGCATAAGCTTGTATATAGTAGTTATCAGGCCTACTGAAAAACCAATCAAAAATGTTTTTCCTATTTTGGAAAGTATTATGACTGTGTGATTTTAATTTGAATATGTATTTCAGGTTTCACTTGGAATACCTAAAAATATATGCTTAAGTATATGCTGAAATCATTATATAAATTACTGTACAAAATTTTTTCTTGGGATTGTGATTGTTGATTGATAGCATACATAAATGGTAAATGTTTAATATGGTGCAAGAATTTACAACGTATCAGGTGCTATAAATTGATCATCATGGTTGGAGTTCATACTATACTTATTAGGAATAGATTGTTGTAGCAATGGTTTTGTAATAATGATTTCATAATTTGAGATTATGGTTAGTTAAATCGATTTTCTAATTATTAGGCTGTATTTGAAATTCCTGATATTAGGTGAGAATAACAAAATATTAAATTATTGTGCAGAAAAAGAAGTTTAATAAACTTCTGCTTGAACGAAATTTATATAAACAAGCATTTAGTGATATATACAAACACCTAATATATTACAAAAATAAATGTTCAATCTAATTAAACTTAAATAATTATTTAACATCATCATATTTCTTTATCATGCTATCCAATAAAATTTGAAATTTTTAATACAAAAACTTGCCTGTAAACTATACACTTCATACTTTGTACTATGTTCCTAGTATAACATGCAAAAAAATGAATAAATTATAATAAATTTATTCAATATTGTATTTTGCAAACTTTACAAATATAATCATCATGAATATAAAAAATTTCAATGACCAAACATCACACAAGTAGTAAATTCATAATAAAAATAGTTTATAAATACCTGATCGTACTGGTCCTGCATGGCATCACATGTCATGCAGCTAGCCTAATTTAATATATCACACTTATGCGATATAGCAGATATATCAGATATATCAGACCTATTTGATACATCTGACATACCTGACATTTCTGATATTTGGGATCTTTATCACATGTACTGGTCACATTTTCGGGTCTCACAATATGCAATATACACATTATAATTATTATATGCACATTTATCCCAAATATATCAGAAGATCTTCATAATAGAGAGGGCATAACTTGGGGTTGAATGGCAAAGATTTCACAACAAAATTGGCCACTTGTGGATCACGTGTTTTAGATCTAACAGCATATAAGGTTTACTCTTCTACTAGATCTTGCTAAAATAAGATTATTCTGCTTTATATAATGCCCTGGATTTACTTTTTTTATCCATGACCACATAGTCCATACTTTATCGAAGACAGGACCCACCTCTTCTAAGTTTTTCTGCAATTCAGATGGTGTAGGTGTTCTTCATCATTTTTAAATTTATGTTACTTCAAAGTGACATATGTCATTTGCAAATTTAAAAATAATGTATGTTATTTCATAATCAGTAAAAATTTATTACACAGATATTTTTTTTTTTTAAAAAAAACCTGAAGACATCACTGTGAGACATCATATGATGTACAAACACAGATAATTCATATGCACATATTATCATTGCAATCTTAATGTTTATAACCATATTGTAATGTATATAGCCTTATCATAAATGTTCTGTTACATAAATTTAAAAAAATTATATATTTTTACACTCAACATGTAAAATGCAACCATATCGTCTTGTACACAATAGATTATTTCTTTGACAAGAACAAGTTTTAATAGTACAGTTTGTCTTTTGATAACAATTAGGTTAATCTTTTTGAATTATTTTCATTGAAATAGTCTTTTCTTTGTTGAAAAAGATGTTTGCTTCATTTGTTTTATCTGATTGTTTAGGACCACATCTAGTAAAGGATAATCAAAAGTTTCAATGATTCAAATTCATTTGCGAATATCAGTTTTCTAGCATTCTGAATTGGTAAGCAAATTGATATGAGTCACAGTTGAACTTTTTTTGAATGATCTTGCAAGGTAAATATCGATGATCTATTTTTTAGCTATCAATGTTTGGAATATAAACTTTCACTAGTTCATCAGTCTTAAATCTTTGATCATGTTTGGTTTATTTTTTTTCTGCATTCTAGTTCGAATAAGATCATGATTTTTTTAAATACAGTACTTAAAATAGACGAATAATGAATCATCTTATGTTGTTCAAATGTTAAATGTTGTACTTGATATATTACCTAATGGTAATCATTGCTTTCAAATATAACATACAAATTTATTAATATATATATAATATACAATGTTGACAACTGGACAATTGAATTGCCAACACTAAACAGGAAATATGATCTGGCTTCAAGCACATGGCAAAGATCATGACTAAGAATATGTGATCTGGACCACTAGACCTAGAACTTTTAACATTCAATAATTGATATATGAGATAGCATTTAGTTAAATTGATCCAAGTCTAATATGGGTTAGATCTTGTTAGAAATGGTTATTAGATAGTGAAGTAGACATTTGCATTTAATACATAAATATTGATAGAATATTTGTGCACTATTGTATGTAAAATAGCTGTTTATTATTGACCTAAATGGTATAAAATTTTAACAAGTATAAAATAAAATTTATATGTTACTAGTGTTATTAGGCAAGACTTAGAGGTTTCACAAAAGGTGAAAGTCGAAACTAGTTTCGACTTTCGGCAAAAAAAAAATTGAAAATGGCAAAACTGTCGAAACTGGCAAAACTATAAAAGATGAAAAATAATAAAATTAGTAAAAGATAAAAAAATTAATAAGTACCACTAGAAAGATTTATTTTTTTATTTATATATAAGATAAAAGGAAGTATTATAATGGATGTCCAATTACAGAAATCAGCAATAGATAATTTTATTATTATTTGATTTATTTTAAATAAAGTATCAGAAACTAGTTGTCAATAATAATGTTAACAAATTACTTACATATGTATAGTATTTAATTAAAGTCTTAATGATGAAATGCTTGTAAAGAAAAAATCTTAACTATATAATAGTAAATTTATTTAAATATTTTGATAAGTTCATTTTATACAAATAATATTAATACATAAATAAACGCTACTAAAAGAAAACAGGATTTCAAACTTTGAATTTTCAGGCGCTGAATTGATTTATTATAAGTTCAAAAGCCCGAAGTCTAGTTTTCTTTTAATAGTATTCAAATACAAATAAAAGACCATCACTTTATTTATTGCTTTTGTACATTCTTATATAAGCCAGCTGTGCTTAATGGCCACACGCAAAATATTTTGATTCACCAACATGGTTCAGTCTTTCCAAAATCTTAGAGGATTTAATCTACGCTGTTTTTAACTTTCTCCAAGGGGTTTAGCTTTACTGGGAGTTTCGCCAGTTTCGACTTTCGTCGGGTTTAGTTTCGACTTTCGCCATTTACCAAAAATAGTTTCGCCTAACAACACTATATGTTATTAACAAATTGGCAATATTACTACAGTAATATATAATCTCATTACTTTAAAAATGCTTAAAAGGTTTGCTTTTATA